CTCACCCCGATTACGATAAGACGGCGGCTCCAGTCAAATTCCAGCGTCGGAATTACCAAGGGCTTTTCCTTTCATCTCCGTACAAGGGGACCCGATAATAGAATTTACGTCGCATACCGTAGTATGAAATGACCAGTAGCATCAGATCCACCATAGAGACAGTCATCACGATTTCAAACTTTAACATGTATGTGTTAAGGTTCTATATAAATGCGCACCTTGGCATGTACAGAGTAATAGACATGCCTACGCTGGTCAAGAATGTTGATCGGAAGGCGGTTTCGATCGTTTTTTCCATTGCGATTACGAAGGACGTTTCTTCATAAAAATTGTAAGATCGCGTCTCATATCACATTTAGTCGATCAGCTTGTTGTATTGTAAACATTGATTGAATTAACAGACGAAAAAAAAAACAATAAACTATAAAAGCGGCACATTTTTTTAATGATAAATGCAAGAGATTGTTATACTGGCGAATTGCGCCAGTTTTTCGACGAAAACAAAATTCTCCGAAAACAAATTCTCAAACAATTACTGCGTTTTGCTAACTGTGAATATTAATAGAGTATAAATAATATAAAAGTTTTTTACCTAAACTGCAAATACTACGCTCCCTTGCCTTTGGCTTAGTTTCACTAATGATGCAAGCATATAACGAATGAACACTGGTCGCTAGGAATGCAACAAAATGAGAAGCGGTAGATTTATTAATCATATGTCTTCGGGCCGAGCGAGCAAAACGGGTCCAAATAAGGCGGGGGATATCTAATACCTAAAATGGCTCGACGCCAAAACCCTCGGGAATTCGGTTACAAGATGTCGATGTTTTTGGCATGGACAAAAAACCAATGCTCTTATGATGCGGGACTTCCAAACGGCGAAGTGCGGCAGACTCCGTAGAAATAAGATCAATATCCATGCTCATTCAGGGTTATAGATTATTTATAAATATACTAATAAGTTACACAACAACAATATGAATTGGCTATGACTTAATTCAGTATTGTCTGCGTGTTACGATGTTATCGCAAAACCACATATTCACTACCTACTTGAAGAATACAATTCCAATATTGAAATGGTACGATCTAGCTAACAGTGAATAATAGCCAGTATTACACGAACTTCCGTATTTACACGAACGATACCCATAGCTGGATAAAACGCGATGAAATTGGCATAAAAGACTTTTATACTACTTCCTTAGCTTTAAAATTTGTTTGTAAAACCTCCAACGCTTCGGACAATACCGAATTTAGTCAAAGATCAATAATCAGGAGAATTTAGTCAAAGATCATGAATGCTGAAACAGTTTGAAGCTTCAAGAGTTTTTGACACAGTTGCTTCATCAATATATACGAAAGCACCAAATAAACCGTTTAAATGGTACACCAAAGGTATTCTTTGGCTTAAATACTCAATAGGAAGATCTGGTCAGCCGCACCAGAATACGCATTGCAACAATTATTATTTTAAATTGAATTTGAGGAAATACGCAGAACATGTTTCAGTTGCACACCTAAGAAACATTTCAACACTAACTTTTAAAAATGATTCAAAATGTTTGAACTAGTACTAGTATTTCATGAGCTACTGAAATATGAAAGATTGACTTTATATACATACTTCACATACTATTTCATACTTTTCTAAAATGTCTAAGCTACATTAAATTCCTTTTATACCGCACCACAGTTTAACAATTTTATTAAAAACAAAAATTATGTGCATAAATTATAAATTTCAACGAAGTAACACGTTAAGTTAGAAAAGTTATTGTAATTTATAGTCATTTCATTCTTAATTTTTTTTAATATTAGCGCAGGAGACAACGACATAATTTCATAGATTACATACTATAAAATTATTTTTTGTCTAAAATGCATCTGTTACATAATTATGTATACATATTAGACAAAATGTGCTATTTCATCGTCATTTATTTATAATTTAACCCGAAAACACATTTAACGCTCAAAATTAATCAATCCATAAAATAACTATCTCGCTAACAATGAAGAATTTTTGACAGTCTACCCATAACGGTACGAACCTATTGTTTACAAACGATGCGTCCGGTATTTTTTCATATAAAAAAAATCCATCAAACCCTTTCTATTCGTGGACATCTGCCGAAGTAGATTTCGCGCTTTTTTAATAAAAAAAATGCGGGTGCAAAAAGCCCGCGCTTTTTATAGCGATCCGCGATATTTGCTATACGGCAACCCTTTCAACAAACATGGCGGAACGTAATCAGATTTCGGCATGTGCTCTATCTTTTCTTTTTTTTTTTAAGAAACACGATAGTTCTTGAGCATGGAGTGTGCCTATTGTGGCTGACAAATGTATTTGCTTTCGTCGTCTTCCGCGTTTAAAAAAAAGCGGCACGAGCCCCTTTGTCGATGGCACTCACTTTTGTACTGGCATAACATGTGTTAACAACCAATGATGCCACCTTTAAATAAAACTCACACATGGTTATGTATTTGAAATGATTATGTTTTATTTTATACACTTTCATGTATGAGTATAAAAAGTCTAATTATTTAACAGCACTTTGCTCTTTAAATTCATGAAGACTTAAAAAAAAGACCAAACGTCTTCAATTCTAAAAAAAAAACAATCGTTAATTTTACATCCTTTCGAATATGTACTAATCTTCTATATACATATAAAAATCAATTGCTGTTCGTTAGTCTCGATAAAACTCGAAAACGGCTGGACCTATTTGGCTAATTTTGGTTTTGAAATATTTTTAGCAGTCCAGAGAAAAAAAAAATTATGGAAAAATTTCATGGAAAATCGAAATAGCAACAATTTCATTGTCATATAAAAACTGTTCCCACCTGTCAAACATTTTAAACACTCCTTTAATGAATACGAACACTTTATTAAATAAGACCAAGGTCTGACACACAAGTCTTGCAACTCAAGATGCGAACATTCAGGCGCTACGATCGATCCATCAACATAATCTACAATTTTTAATTTTAAAACGTGTTTCTTTCGTTTTCATTCTGTTCACATTTTCGGAGTGAAACGTTATTGTGAGTTCAAAATCAAAATCAAAATCTATTGTAAATCTAAAAATAATTTGTTAGACCATTTGTTGTTTAGACCATGCAACTCATTTATTGCTTCAATTTAATTGTATACAACAGGCAAGAAACTTGCACCGTGTAAATGGGTCTTAATAAACATGGATTTAAGTTGCACGATTATCGTCCCCTTGTCACACCGCGTATCTTTGGACCGCAGTGTTCTGACGTATTAAAGAAGCCACGTCAATACCCAGTCACAAGACGTATATTAGCGTGGGTAAAACTGAAAAATCATAATGGAAACCACAGATAACTTTGTAAATAGATAATACAAAACTTCAAAACAAAATCGGGGAAAGTCGAATCAAATATCAAAATTATATACACAGAAAATATTTATAAATATATCCATACGCAAATGTTAATTTGTGTAATTTTATGTACCAATATTCTGTCGTTGTTTTAGTGTCGTTAATGTGAAAACGAAAATTCTAGTTTACACCTGGAACGATTAATATTAAGCACCGCCGTTATCTTTTCCATCTTATGCGTATAACGTTTATGTATTTAGTTGTCGCTTATACTGAATACGTTAAGCATGTTGAAAGAAAACCCTCAGAATATAACTTATAGATCCCTAAAATAAAATTTAATTTGTAACACAAAAGAGAAATAATATAGATAAAGTTTAATTAATCGCCCCGTTACAAATTTTAAAAAAAAAATACGACGCAAAGATCGCGAAAGTTCATGTCTTGTTGTTGTGAAATAAATACTTAAAAGATTACGAAGCGTGGTGAACGACAAAAGAAAGGGCAATTAAACAATACTACAAAAAAGGCCAAACTACAAAGCAAAAATTTTTAAAAATATTCTGGAGACAACTTTAGGTTATTTGACCCACTAACTTATTTTTCACTTGTCACTTTCAACACGATTCGCACGAAATTCCGTTAACAATAATAAATGAACTCATTTATGTTGAACCTTGCAACGAAAATAACTTAAAATTGTGCAAAACCCAATTTGAGCCCAACACAAGCTTAAAATTCAGCGATGAATGCTATTAGCAATAACATTTACTCTTGGACGCATGCATTATAATTGCTTAACTTAAAATAACAAACAATTATTAAGTGTTGACGTGTCGTGTTTAGTTTAATTTGTTACATGATTTAACACGCGGAATTGAAAAAAATTACCAAGAAAGTATTAATATTTTATAACGAATAAAAAATTTATATATTTCTCTGTTCCTTAGAAATATGCGCGCTATCGAAACAGATGTAATAGAGTAAAATGAATATAACAATTTGTGAATGATTCAATAGAGTTTGTCTTCAAAATATTAAAGTATGACATGAAGTATTCAACGTACCTTAACCTTTAACGAGTATTGTCGGTTTTTTATTTTAGGTAAAACTCCGGATATTTCGAATTCTTTACGCCGATACAAGAATGCTTTACAGTGTATTTGCGTAAGTTATTATACAAGACCTGTATGTTATTTTGATAACGGTATGTAAAATCTAAAAACGAAACAATAATGATATGTGAATATTATGGCACGATCTTTATGGGTGTCGTTCGATGGGTGCCGTGATAGCCCAGTGTCCGGGCGCTCGCCTTTAATCCAATATACTCGAGCAACCTGAGTTCGATCCCCGGGCCGGCACCAATGAAGTTGAGGAAACCTGCATATTTTCGAAATAATAACAAAAAAAAAAAATATTTCGAAGATATGTGAAGTCCGCCAATCCGCAGTGGGGCCGCGTGGTGGACTATGCCCTGATACCCTCTATATAGAGGAGGCCTTTGCCCAGCAGTGGGACATGTATAGGCTGTTACTTTACTTTTTTTTTTTTTTCTCATTAGAAACGTAGAAGAAACAAACGGTTACTGGCTGAAAATTTTACCCCTAGCTAAAAGACCTGCTCGGTGGTGAAAAAATAATTACAATGCAGCCTAATGGATTGTTTGAGAGGCCGATGCGGACGGCGGACTGCGGTCAGGTGTTGGGGTCACCTGTGCTCAAGAATCTTGTTTTGACAGGTGGATCTGCATTGTCACACGATCTCTGTGGCCGCGTGCTTAACTGGGCGCTTTGTTTCGCCTATTTATAAGGAGTTTCGTATAACATGGGACGCTAATACAGCGCCACCTGTCCGCAGCCTGTTTCGGCGGAGGACGTGTCAAAAGTAAGCAGACAGGCTCGCTGAATTCGAAATGCGGTACATTTAGTTGTAAGGAGCATTACTATGCCAGCATATACGTTATATTCGTTTTTTCAGCGGCTTGCTGTCTATTTCATTACTTAATGCGATCAGTGTCTTAGAACATTCATTTTGTTCCAGAAACTCATTATTTAATATTTTTATCCAAGTAAGAAAGATTAGCAAACTGGTGAAAATTACAAGTTAATGTGATCTATGGAAAGATAATACAAATATGTATGTCTCTTCCGAACCCCTTCGCAAAATCGGCGCACAGATATTTATACAATAATATTATGAATATTTTATAGTAATATGAAATTTATTTCCATCTCTACATTAATTTAATAGAGATGAAAGAGGTGCGTAATCTTAACATACATTAAAAAAAATTCAAATAACTCATTTGAAATAACTGTTTAGCTTCACACAGGTGAAATGAATATATCCGGCACTTGGGGGTTACATTATTTGACGCCAATGCTCCGGTTAAAGTTACATGTGTTGTAATTCAGACATAGCTATGGGAGGACCACGCAAAAGTCTTTGCTTGTTGCACGAATGGGCAGGTAAATCCGGGTAAGCGTCCTCACAGAAGACCGGCCTGAAGTAGAAGCGTTGCACTTCAGCATTTCGTCTGGTGAGTCGATCCGATGTCGATATTAAAAGATGGCAACGCTTCTGCAACCCTACGGGTGTTGCAAATGTCAACGGGCGACGGCTATCACTTAACATCAGGTGAAGTGCCTGCGCTTGACACCTTCTCACATTAAAAAAAGATTGAGTCCATCGCTGCGAAGATCGCGAAAGGTACGTACAATACTACCGAATCTCTCTTATATTGGGCGCGCGACACAATAGCCGCGCTCATCGCTCCCGAAGGAATCCCATCAAAATCTGGAAGGGGCTCATCAATATCCCGACAAAAACGGCTGCAAAAAGCGCCGGGCGGATTTTTATTCGACGGAATCCGTCCGAGAGGGCCCGGGTTCGGTCCCGAGGTGCCGTCAAACGAGCCGAATCGGCAAAAATGTGCATAATTGGCCCCGATCTGGAAAAAACCCTTCAAAAAGCGACCTCTAAACGTTGCGAAAAAGTGCACGGACACAGGGTGGGTGCAAACGCTCCGGACTCCTAAGGCTGTGCGCACATAGAAACATAACATACGAATAAAATATAATTACTACAAACATACGTTACTTGCGTCTTGTTTTGTCACTCAAAATTTAAACCTTTTCTTCAACCAGACGTTGCTGGTCTCTTTCAAGTATTAAAGGAGAACTATTACGCTGCTAAAAGTTTAGTGTTTTAAAATTAAAAGAAAAACATATTTTTGTTTCTATGGTTTACTTATATCGTCACACACTAGTGTTTATATAGGTATAGAGATTCGACAAAACTTTTTTCTCGTAACCTTGTGTTTCTGGGTAACATTGACAGTATGCTCGTATAAAAAGTATGTTTTATTTAATTATATTTTATTCTAAGGATCTCTCACATATATTTTATATAAGTTCTCGCTTTCTGCACTCCTTAACTTTATCAACTTTAATTAAGCCTAATCTGACATATCACCGTGGGCACTATATGCTCAAAAAGGGATAAAGTTCTTTTTTTACATATCAATTTATAGATTGTTTACTATTCACTTTGTATTTATTACACGGATAAACTAATTGTATTGAGATTAAAACCTAAAAATGTTTTTAATAATTATATGCAATAAAAAGCTTATGAACTATCTAAGTATTAACTACGAATAAAAATATTTGATTACAACAATTACCTACCCCTTCATATATACAATGATTTTTGCAGAGATTATATAAATATAAACATATAGACATAAAAATTGATCTGTTCATTTGCAGAAATTACAGGCGGAAAGTCTGTCTACCCCTTAAAGTCTGAATATCCTGCACATTAATGCAGCTCTATCAGAGATTGATTTATTCAAATCGAAAAACTTTTGATTCCACTCGCCGCGGGCACGCGAATTATTTGTTTTTGAATGGCAATTATATTTTATTTTATTAAACGTATCGGTCCCCGATTTGCCCCAAATGCCCAATGTTTCCGCGAAATCCGTCGGCCATCCACCATCGGGCTAAATGGACCACTTTTAGGCACAAATACGTATGGAATTTTCAATAATCAGGGGATCATAAATACGATGGATACTGTTGTTTATTTCATTTCGTGGTTTGACGGCGGCACGCGATTATATTTTCTATCGGTCGGATTTACTTTCACGTAACACCTCATTTATTTTAATTTTATTTTATTTTATTGATTAGGAAAACAAACAGCACTTACATAAAATAAATAGTACAAATTACACACTGATATGTGGGCCAATAAAGTTTTCACTACTAGCTATTATACACTTTGCATCAAAAGTATACAATTATAATATCTTAATTTAACGGTATTTTGATTTATAAAAGAAAAATATTAAAGATAAGAAAAAAATATACAAATACAAAAACTAAAACCTAAATTATTTGAAAAATAAGATTATATGTTTATTTCCATTTTGATTGCGGCAAAACATTTTTCTATACTATCTCGAAAAATGTCAATACTAATAAAAAATATGCTACCGAAAAATTTTTTTACCGAAAATGCAGCAAAAACATTATTATTGGTAAAAAATTTAGTATAATTTGTCCTAAGTTCCTGTTGGGTTCATAAATTATTTGGACTGGTCTACTTTGTAACTGATGTTTACGACTCGATTTATTTATTTGGAATGCGAAAAATGACAAAAACATTTTTTTTATTTGAGAAAATAACAGTAACTGTTGTAAATGCAAAATTTTATTTAATTGTTTTTAATTTGTGGTTGCCTGGATTATTTAGTAGGCTTCGATCCTGCCTATAAGGATTTTAAAGAAGACGAAATCATATGCTAAAAACCTTTTTACACGGGAAGAAGCAATTGGAGGATGTTCAAATAATAATATTAATTACGCCACCCATGGATATCAATAGCCTCCGTGGAGTTGTCACTTGTCGTCGCGTTGGCAATATTTTAGAGAGTGGGAATCCCATTCACTCGGTCTACTCTCCAGTATCATTCGGACAACAGTGGATACTGCTTCGGGGCTCTATCACAGTGCAAATTCGTACCGACTCCTTGGTATGGACAATTTTGCGCGAGTTTGCGACCATAATTTCGCTTTTTGATATTCAAAAAGATATCTCCTTACAGCGTTCGACGTTCACGACGTATGCATAACATCTGCCATTGGAAAAAAATGCCTTATCTACAAATAAACCACTAAAAATCGCACTGCACAAAAAATGTCATCTGCATACAACATCTGGTCAGTAGAAAAACGCGCCATAACTATGCAGATAACAAAAACACGCGCTAAAAAGTGCACAGACCAAATATCGAATACGAACTTTTTTGTCGATAATTCTGTCGGTTTTTTTCGCGATTATGGCATGTGCCAAACCTTCTCTAGCTACGGATAAAAAATGGCTTTTTATTTGCGCGATTTATTAAAGCTTTAGTGGCTAGGGGAGAAGTGTTGCTTTGTGTTTTAAAACAATGCAAACATAGGTACATTATGAACGGTCAGCGATTTTTTGGATGAGTACTTTATAAAGCATGTTATTAAAACGTTGCCGAGACAATTATTTGTTATATATTTAAATATCATCTGCTTCTTTAGATAACACTATTTTATTTCGTTTAGTTTTCACTTTAATTCGCGATCGTTTACGAGACCAAGATTAAACGCCTATGTTATAAAAAGAAAGTTAAAGTAACACAACTCGCGATAAAACCCGAATTTATACATCGAGTATATGACGGCTCAGGATCGTGTTTCTAGGCAGTAGGTTTGGGAAAGCTATGTCCAACAGTGGACTAAAACAGACTGACATTTGCCCGGTTTCTATATTCAACGAACGGCCGTTAGTTACATTGTCATTATGAAGTCGTTACAACGAGTCGTTACAAAAGTTACGAAGATACCAGGGAATGATGATGATGACGATGTTAATCTTTGACATCTTTACAAGTTGCAGATTAAACAGCAGATTTTTTTGTATGTAACTTCTACTGTAATTTTTCTTAAACTTAGCTATTTTGTTCAATAATTTGATCTATTTATTGAAACTCGCTGTATTCTCCAAATACCTAACTACTTTTAATATGAATATTAAATATTTTTGATGTTATGTACGTTGTGTCGATTAAACTTCTTTCTTTCTTTTTATAAGTTCCACAGCTGTTTAAATGCATATATACTTTACAAAACGTCCTAGATCCATAGTCTTTGAATGTTTCCCATATGTTCCAATATGACCTAGTACGGTTGTGAAGTATTAATAGACTCCATATATATTCGAAGAGAAGTATGCAGGGAATGATTGATTTAGATAATTAAGTAACTGTTAACTGTAGTTTGAAATAGGGGCAACAGGCACTTGTCACACGGTAAATCTATAAACCTCAAGAAATTAATCTAGACTTGTTCTGCTGAATTTGATGATATATTAAGCTATAGCGACAGCCACTTTTATGTAAGTAGTTCTTTGGCAGACAACCAGACGCTAAGGGCTCACCCCCAATCGGACTCTACAGCTAGCCTTCAAGAGCGTGGCCCTGGCTAGCAGACACCAGGAAAAACGTAAAATTAAAAAGAAAGAAACAACCATTAAATACCGGGCATCGAGAAGCGCTTTGCGAATATAAATAAATATTTATAACTTGTAAATTGTGATTTGTTTTCTTGTAACAATATAAATATATAAGCATAGCAACAGCATTACTTCATTATGAATCTATGAATTGGTCTAAGAACCGACTTACTCCTTTATTATTGTATTCAATCATATTTTGCGCACATTGATGTTGGATGCCCAGACTCAAAGGTACAATTTATTCAAAATCACACAAAATTTGGAAAAAACTGTTCACACGTAGTACAACGGCAGTAGTCGTGATGATTGTAATTCGTTAAACTACTTGTGCACTCCATATATGCAAAAAAATTTGCTTACCCTGTCGTCCCACACAAGCATACAACCAACCAAAACAGTGAAACCCACGAGTTACAGTAAAGTTATCAATTTAAAATAAAAAAGAAGAAAAGCTTAACTTCTTTCAGCCTTTTCAAAGGCCTCTTTGGGTATCATTCAAGTGACCAGCTATGTTATCATCAATCACTTGGAGAAATTAGTTATTTGTGCGTGTCTTTCTGTGCACACGTTTTCTCAAATCCCTGTGCACGCCACCGACATGGAGACAAAGAAAGCTGAATAGCATAGTAGTTACCGAAACAAAATTATTGAGAGTATTCAAATGAGTGCACTTTCTATGTTTTATGATAAAAAATTATAGCAAAGGTAACAAGAAAGCAAAAGTTGCTGAACACGGCAGCTGTGTTAAGCACGAGCCAAGCACGGTGCCAGCCGTCGAAAATATGTTTGTTTGAAAAAAATTGCTTAAAAAACTTGATAAAGCACTTAATTTGGCAAGGAAGGTAAAAAGACAGGAAGAGGCGGCATATTGCGGAGACTTCCGCGGTTAGATTACGCCCGGCTAGAATAGCATGGATCTTCCGCATGCATGTTATATCGAACATATTCGAACATAAGCTTTGCTGGAATAAGTAACGATATATTGGTATTTCGTACAGACTGAGCTACATGCTCAGTATAATCATTGAATAAATTTGTAGACTTATAAATAAGACAATAACGTACGCGATGAAGTCCAATAGATTTCCAGTGAAACAGGTGTCAATTATAAAACATTTACAAGCCTTTTATCTAAATATTACTATCGTATCGTACTATCGTATAATACTATCGTAAGTATTTTACTTTCCTTAAGTTGTTATCTAATTTAAATTTCATTCGTACTTAACTAAGTCAATATCCAAAACATCAGGGTTTTATAAATCACTTAAAAATTAATACTATTTACAAAATATATTTACATATTAAGCCAAACTGATTATCCACATACAGATTACGTCGAAATAGAGCTTTTTCCTAATTTGCCAAACAATTGTTC